GGACAAGCAGCGCGTCAACCTAACAAGCCAATAAATGAAGCCTTTTGAAAAAAAAAGCCTTTCTTGTTTTAAAACCCGGAAAAAATATATTGTTCCTTGTAGATTTGCTTCAGACAAAAATGCGAAAGCTATGACATTCTGAGTTACGACTGTGATTCTGCAAAAAAATGCTCAGGACACGGGGTAAGTAAAAAAAAAAAAAATGATTTCCCATGAAAGTTAGAAAAAAAAAAGGAATTTCTTTCTTGGGCCAAAAGAGGAGAGAAAGCGTCTTGATCGTGATAAAGTCAGTTTGGAATTAGAGACCAAGTTGGTCTAGTGCAGGGGTAGGCAACCTTGGCTCTTTTATGACTGGTGGACTTCAACTCCCAGAATTCCTGAGCCAGCCACGCTGAGGGGAAAGGGAGAGGTTTCCAAGCTGAGCCAAGCTGGCTCAGGAATTCTGGGAATTGAAGTCCACGAGTCATAAAAGAGCCAAGGTGGCCTACCCCTGGCCTAGTGCAGTGTTTCTCAACCTTGGCTGCTTGAAGATGTGTGGACTTCAACTCCCAGAATTCTTTGCTGGCTGGGGAATTCTGGGAGTTGAAATACACACATCTCCAAGCGGCCACAGTTCAGAAACACTGGTCTGGTTGTTAAGACACCCGGATGGAAAATTGGAGGCTGTGAGTTCAAGTCCCACCTTAGTCATGAAAGTTGGCTAAGTGATTTGGAACCAGTCACTTTTTCTTGGCCAACCCACCTCACAGGACTGTTGTTGTGGACAAAATAGGAGGAGAAAGTGTGCGTTAGCCACCTTGAGCTATTTGTAAAATGATAAAGGCGGGGTGCAAATAAATAAATAAAAAGGGAATTGCAATGCTCATTAAGAATGGATAGTGCTTTGATTGTCCAGATCGCCCTTGGTTTTTTTGACCCCGCCACCTCTATGAATACCCGCAGGTGGGGCACCCAGTGCTTTAAATGGATGCGCTACGCCCACGTTCCCCAGCCAGTTGTCCTCAAGATGTGGACATAGCTCAGTATGCAAGGTGGCTTTTTTTGCAGGACAAAGTCCTTATCTTGGCTACGGCACAGTCTACAAGTAATGGATCTGATTAAAATCAAAATTCTATCTGTGAATAGAGAGAATGATATTACACCCAGATAATGTTTATTTATTTGTTTATTAAATTTATAGGCCGCCCATCTTGTGGTTTGAGGTGGCTTACAATGTAATCCTCGCTCTGCCATCATTAGTCTTGCTCTTTGGTTAACCAACTGGCTATTTTTGTATCTACTTGTATGTTTGTATTATTTTTATACTTTTGGTATGGTCAAATCGCTAATTCTATAAACCTCTCCCCCTCCCCTCCCCTCCCTTTCCCTTCTCTCCTCTCCTCTCCCCTTTCTCTCCTCTCCTCTTTCCCTTCTTTCCTCTCCTCTCCCCTTTCTCTCCTCTCCTCTTTCCCTTCTTTCCTCTCCCCTTTCTCTCCTCTCCTCTTTCCCTTCTTTCCTCTCCTCTCCCTTCTCTCCTCTCCTCTCCTCCTCTCCCCTTTCTCTCCTCTCCCCTTTCTCTCCTCTCCTCTTTCTCTCCTCTCCCCTTTCTCTCCTCTCCTCTCCCCTTTCTCTCCTCTCCCCTTTCTCTCCTCTCCTCTCCTGCCTTGCCCTGCCCTGCCCTGCTCTGCCTTCCTCTCCTTCTCTCCTCTTTCTCTTCCCTTCTCCCTCTCTTCTTTCTATCTCTTTTCCCCTCCTCTCTCTCCTTCTATCCCCTTTCCGTCCCCCCCTCCTTTCCATTCCATACATTCTGTTCTGTTCTATTCCCATTCCAATTCCACTGATCACTTTTCCACTTGTCAAAAGCATCCTCCCATTTGGAACTGAAACACCCGACTGCGAGATTGAAATCCATTCAGATTTTCTCTTACTGGGTTTTTCAGGTATGTAACAACAACAAAAATTGCCACTGCGACCCAGGCTGGGCTCCTCCAGACTGCAGTATAAAAGGAAGTCCTATGGGAGGAAGTATTGACAGCGGGCTTCGCTATCTGGATTTAGGTCAGTCAGTTGTATCTTACCGGGACATTGTCCAGTCAAACCAATCAGTTCAGCCATTTGATTGATCTGAGACCTTCTCTCTCTCTCTCACATTCTCTCTCTCACATTCTCATGTTCCATTCTTTCTGTAGGCATCCCCCCCCACTAGCCATGATGAGAGGACATGGATGACAAACACCTGATGATGTCATAATGCAAAACCTATCCCCTTATACTTGAATCATGGCATTGGACACCTTATCTAAATTATGGGTTTGTAGTCTGACCTCAGAATGCCCCGTTCTACACTTGCCCCTGACAGACACCTGTAATGATTTCTCCAGACACTCTGCTACCTCTGTCTGTTGTTGTTAGTTGCGAAGTCGTGTCCGACCCATGGACAACGTTCCTCCAGGCCTTCCTGTCCTCTACCATCTTCTGGAATCCATTTAAGCTCAGGCCTACTGCTTCAGGGACTCCATCCAGCCACCTCGTTCTCTGTCGTCCCCTTCTTCTCTTGCCCTCCATCTTTCCCAGCATCAGGCTCTTCTCCAGTGAGTCC